CAGTAGTGTTGATTACTGCAGGATATTTGACCTTAGATATCCGATTACTTGACTCGATAGAGAGAAGTCGTGCATCTAAATTCAATCGGAATACATGTATTTATTTGTTGCATATTTGTTTTAATATAACGATTGCAAAGAAATCAGTCGTTGTCGAGTTGTAAAGAAGATATCACCCAGATATCCAACCTAAGCCTTCTGCTTATACATAATATAAAATTTTCTTTTTTTGAAGATAAAATTTTTTTTAAATATAGAATTTTATTTATTACTTATTTAATTCAATGCATTGTTAAGAATTATTATATTTATCTTTTACCGTTAAAATAATTGCATCGAAAATTTGGAAACCAAATGCGCAATCAATTCAATACAGTTATCTTTATAAATTTAATGAAAATCGCACTTTCTGCCTTGAATCGGTCCCATCTTGATTATCCTCTTTATCAACTTCCGTTTTGTGCCAATTAGTAGAAAAGCGGTTAATGTTAAATCTGTGAAACAGTGTTTAATTTAATTGAAGCGTAACGCGACAATTATCTACGCGTGAATTCCGACTATAAATCGATTATTCAAATCCCTTTCTTTCGTTTATACGAAAGTTTGATTCCATTCGATACTTCAATTGTTTACAAATAAAGTAAAATTTAATAATTAATTATTAAGGCATTTTTTTACATGTACCATATTAATTAAAACATATTTTAAAATTGATTATTTGAAAATTAATTTTGTAGTAAGTTAACAAATAAAATAAAAAAACTATTTATACATCCTTGAAAAATTCTATTAAGCAATTTGTTCCTCTTTATCACAAATATAGAAATAGAATCTTCTTGCTTTTAGATATAATATTGGTTATACACACACAATTTTATTACAACTTGAATATGCATACTAAATTCTGTTCTCTTCATTTTATTAGAAACTTACTTATACTTTATCTTTCTAAAACTTAAGTAAAAGTATATAGTATATACAATTTAAAACGACTCAAAATCGTTTTTTTTTTTAAAGAAAGTAGATTTCTTCTACATATTTTAAACTAGTTAAAATAATTGTTAATTCTCCTGTAAAATTAAACTTTTTTATTTTTATGTACATATTTACAATATCATAAACTACATAGAGCCGTTAACATCTTAAGATATTACTTAAGACGGTTTTTAAATACGAGTAGATCATGAATATCGCCTTAGATATTTTCCTTCTCCTTATCTGGATAGATTGCTCTTAGGTTGAAAAACGCAAAACGTAAAACTGACAATACTTCCCTGAGCGGTATCAGACTATCTAAAAACTTACTTTATTGCTCCGATTTTATGTATTGACATAAAATCTAAACTGAACATGGTGATTATCGAAAAAATATTACAGCGACTCTTTGACTTTTATTTTTAAACGAGTTAGATTTCCGAAATTATTTGAATATTTTCAATAATGCTAAAAATGAAATGAGATTTAAAAATATGGATGTATGGATATGTAATTTCAAAGTACACATAATAAAGAATTAAATAATAACTGAAAATAAATTATTTACAAATTTTCTTAACGACATTAGATCTCTCAAAAATAAATTTCGCATAATTATAATCATCAATTTTAAATAATTCATATTTTATAAAGTATTTTCCTAAACAACAAAAATATCTTTGAACATTAATACGTCAAAAGCGCCATATAAGTGGCTTTCCATAAAATATTTTTGATTTAAAAGACATTTTTTAAACAATTTTAAAATAGCGTTTGCTGCATTATTTCATACATATGAAGGCTTTCTTCAGATTAACTTATTTTTCAAAAGAGAGACTGTGAATTATACATTTATATTATAATTCTTAATGATACATTATTTCTGAAATTTGATCTAGAATTCCTTGGCCAAAAGGACACGAATTATATATCCTTGAACAATCATGATTTCTTTGTCCAAATTGTAATGCCTGTATATACTCGGAGTCCAAAGATGAATCATTTCTTTGTTGAGGACTAGAACATATAAACATCATATCTCCGATTATTCTCAAGAATTATAATAATATTTCAATCTACAATTTAAACTTAGACGTTCTTACGTAAGCAAAAGGTGCAATAATTCTTCTACGAGTCCTTCATTCTCTAGAGACATTGTTGCTGCTTCACATATATCCTTTTTCATGCATTCTTTTCCGTTTACTCCCCTTCTACGAATTAAAGAAAGAAGAAATAATTATATACATATGCAGTTGCAATAATATTATTTAATTATTATAATTTAATAAATAAATAAACTATAACTTTATCTGCTATTATTTACATGTGTAACTCTTGATATAATACTGATTAGAATTTACAAATATACGAATTGTTAAAGAGATGCCCCATAATTAATAATGCCTCCTTTTATATTCAATATAAAATATAAATTAATACATTTTTAATTATATATTATATCGAAAAATTAACAATTCGTCATCTTACTCACTTTGCTATTTTAGCCCCCTTTCATTTAATTAATAATTTTGCCTGGTCTTCGTTTGCCAAAGAAATATCTGTATTAGATCTTTAAACATTCCACTAAAATATCGTCTGCAACTTGGGACGCGTAAATCAGCATGTAAACAACATGGTAAATTTTTATGCTGCCATATCGTTCGATATCATTCTCATGTGCACGAATGTCTGACGGAGAAATAATCCTTACCTATCGAACTCCTTCTCCAGAAGCCGATAGACAGTCATTCTTTCGTCCCAGCTAACGCTTTCACGTCGCCGTCGCGACGATGACGCGTTTTCGAAAAACTCCGTGAAGAATGTCGCGTTCTGCGGTAGAAGATATTGGAACTGAAAGTTCTGCCCGTAAACCAAAATTCTGCCTGAGAGCTGTACGGGCACTGCAAATCCCACGACGAGCTTATCACAGATATAATATATCACATGAATGTGATGATATTAACTACTTATAAATATTTTTAATACACACATATTTATTCCTTTGAAGGTTCTTTAGTATACAAGGAGTATTACATATAGAAATAAAATACTTTTTTTTATTAAAAAAAAAACATAAATATTTTTTAAAATACTTGTTTTTATAAAAAAAACATAAATAATGTTCATAAATAAAAATTATAATAAAATCAAAGAAACGATGTAGAAACGATAATACGGAACAACTTTCTGGAAAATTTCTTGAAATAGTGTTGCAAAATTTTAATCAAGATGACAGCGAAACAAAACAGACGTGTCTGCACATTTCTAGAAGGACTTCCAGAAGGAAGAAAAGATCCAGCGGTCGCGCTTTAAATCATGATATTCTCTCTCTTTCTCTTTCGTGCAGGAAACACGAAAGAGAAATTTTTTATCCTCGAAAATAAAGGATTTATCTCTTTCCCGATCGAGATAAAAGCGTAGCTTTCTATTTTGATCGGAGAATAAAAGGTACATGCCGCGAGCGGATATATCGCGAGGGGCAGTTTACTCGCTCATCCGGCAAAGTATAGACCGAAGATGCGGGGAACGAAAAACGGATGGGAATTAATTTTGTGATTTTCTCGAGTCAGCACGGAGCGCGGATGGCGAGGTGGAAAGGGACGGAAGGGATCCTGTTTCCGCCGCAACTTGAAGGACTTGCGCCGAGTAACGTCATCGCTGATGCCATCTCGCAATAGACACATAAAAATTCATATGCTAATATCAATCCCTCCCTTCTCCCCCCCTCGCATAAAGAAGGGGGCTGATGGGAGCGCGAACGAGCGGGACTCGCCAATCCATTTTAGAGATTACGCGACGTCGTAAATCACCCGCGAAATGGAAGAAGAAACTCGCGTCTGATCTCAGCACGGTGCCTGCGGCACGGGCAAAGATACGGTACCAATAACGATAATATCGGCGTCTACTGAATGTGAAGACGTGCGCAGCCGGCGGTCCGGCCGCAGCGCGCGATAATCGAGAAGAGATTGATGAACGAGACGCGGGAGAAACGCGGAGGAGGAGGAGGGAAGGGCGCGCATCATCGGCGCAAAGGAAGGGCGGCAAAGCTCCGAAACTCGCGAGACATCGAGAAACGGATAGACAAGAGAGAAGCGAAACTTGATGTACTAAGACGCGCGGAGTATTGAGAAAAGGCTTTCGTTTGCGTTTTACGGAAACACGTTTCCCCGACTGCGGCACTTTGATTGCGGCTTCCTCCTAGAAATAGGATCTCTATCCTTATCCGCTATTTTCATAACCTGCAGATGACGGAGGAGCCACTTACATCTCCCTGGCCACTCGCCAAACCTGTCCTTTCTCCCGCATTAGTTTTTACGACTTGCGTGACGCTTCTACTTTGCTTAGGTGCCTCGTATTCTTTATCGCAAGAACGAACCGACGTCGCCAAGACGCCTTGCCAGTTTATTTACATTATCTCTTTATGTTCCCGTTTCTTGAGAAACGTTACGAAAATACGACTGATACATATATGAATAATTTAGCAATACTAACTGAAATATGTGTGTATACGTTATACTCGGAAATTTGTATTTCAGATAGGATTAACTTTAGTCAATTGATTTTAAACTGGATTGGATAAAGTGTACACTGTATCTAAATTCTGTTCGAATAGAGGCAGTCAAAAATTTTTTGTTAATTCTGATACTCAGATCAGTAATAAATTAAAATTAATAATTAATTATAATAATCAAATCAATATTACACGGTTATCATAATTATTGTACAATCATTGTATGTTGCGTAATAAAATTACTATGTACTCGTAAAATTACTATGTACAATTTTCATTTAGGTACATCGCACAGATACAATGAGCTCGTTTACTTTTCCCATTTCTTCACAGTTTACTCGACGAGGCGAAAGAAGCGTTTCACATGTAAATAGAAAAAAAAACTTTGAGCAGATCTTTCTGGCGTAAGATAAAAATATTCCAAATGCAAAGGATACATTTTAAAATTAACTTTAAAAGGGTAGTCGTTAAAATATACATAGTAGAGTCTAGTTACGACAAAAGCGAACATTTTATGTAGAAAAGATGTAAAAATCTTATGTCACTTTTTTTCGAAACATAAAGAGATAAAAAAATAAAAATTTCTAGATTCGAGCATCGTCTTCGAGTTAAACGGCGATGATATTATTGGTCTCTATTTGAATTAACACCGAATTTTGCATCCAACTCGTATGAATTTTATCTTTCTCTCTATCGATTCCTTGCATGACGTTCTTCTCGTTGCACCTATCTTGCTCTTCGTCGGATCGATTCGTTGTAAATCGCGCAACATTTCCGTTATGCAGCAAACCGGATGCATCTGACGGAATCTGAATTCGACGACGTCCCACGGGGAGTGGACCGGTTGGCCCCGACTTGTACGAATCAAGACGAGAGATCGATATCTTATTCTAAATATCCGCCCTCCGAAAGGCGCGCTACGCTCTCGCCTCTTCGTCTTGTTTTCTCCTCCATCGCATTTTCGGAACGTATTTACATTAGGAATCCCGAAGGGCTTTCCCGCGCTATCGTTTCGCCGGCTTTGTAATTCTGCACTCGGGAATTTATCTCTGTTACGGATATTGCACATTTGTTAAAATGTGGCGGCGCTACCGATCTCCGGAAGAAACTCACGCGAGCGTCTTCCCACGTTGAATTGGGCGTTGAATACGCGGCCAGGAGAAAAGCCAGGCTCCGGCGGGCTTTTCTCCGTGGTATTTAACATTGTATAATCTGATATCATTGTAGCAAGTACGTATAATAACGGGGACATTCGCGAAATATATTCAAGCCGCACTTTATTAACCATGCGCATTTTGCGCAAGGGGATATTACCGCGCGAAGCAATACTCCGGAGAGAAAGAGCTTTGTCTTTGCCTCCTCCGCTCGTCTCCCCTCCTCTCCCCCCCCCCCCCGTCGCGAGTTACAATCAAACGTCGACATAATTTCCTCCGCGAGTTTGCACGTGCGGTGACCTGAACGCGCTCAATTCGCTTTCCCCTTTGGCCGCCAGCAAGCCTTTTAAAAGGCAAACATTCAAATATTTACAATTGCCGCACTGTTTCTTGGATTAAAAGGTCTGTCTTCTCAATTTTCCAGGGAGGACCCCGACAATTGACTACCTTCGTATTATATAAAGCGTATGATCGAGACGTTGATTTGCTTCGCTTGTTTGTTCATATGTCAACTCTTTCGTTGATTGGATATAACAAATTTGCTGCTCATGCACTTGCAACATTTTTCAATTCCGTTGTTTTCGCAAAATAATAAAGAAAGCGATGCTTATACTGCCTTTCTTCTAAAGCGATTTTTTTAAAATTATTCTTAGTATTTCTCGAAATTTTTCTTCAATGTTGAAGGCGATATAATATAATATTTAATGTCACTGATTAATGTTTTACCAAAATATGATTATTAATTCTTCTAACTTAACTACTGGTACATATTTGCTTTGAATTTTTTATTTTATATATTACTATGATAAAAATATACAAGAGAGATGAGATAAATGAGTTTTGAAGAAACGTTATTAAAATAACAAATATGTAAATATATAAATATAGCAATTGATAATAAAAGTCATTAATAATAAGTAAATTAAAATGTTTACAAATACTAAAATTTTTAAATTTAAAATTACTAAATGTTTAATTAACTAAAACTGTTTTTAATACAAATATAAAATCACATCAAGATATACACAGCGCTAATTACTGTTTCTCTAACATCTTAAATAAATGCCTTAATCACAAATAATCAATTTTTGCTATTTGCAAATGCTGTTTATAAAATTTGTGAGCATTATACTTCTTAAAAACATTATTTATCTAGGTAAGTAGCAATCATTCTCAATTCTATCATCTATAATTACATAGTAAAACTTGAAATGGGAAAGTAAAGGGGAAGAACTGACATTCTCTCATCTCCGGTTACTCTTCCAGACAATTTTAAAACCTCTTATTTGCACGCCGATCAGATACTCTATCGAGTTTTCGTTTAATTTACTCTAAGTTTTCGTTCTTTTGAAGAAAAAGAGAGAAAGAGATAGTACGAATATCCGAGAATATCTCATAGAGGCAGCGAAAACGAAGACAAACAACCCGTGACATCGAATCGTCTCATCCAATTGCGAAAACTGCATAGCAGGAGTTTTCCGATTTAATTAGAGGATTTAAGAGCGTACCGCAAATAAAACTGCAATTAATTATCAATCGCATCCTGTACCGTGCACCGGCACGTTCTCGCCATTTAAATTTGCTCACCTACTTTTCGTACTATTAAAGCCATTAAGTGTTGTTACCAATGGCACTGTACCAATGAAACTGTACTTAAAGAAATTTAAATTTTATCTCTGAAATAATTTCGCCGTTAATGAAGATGATAATTGGAATAAATTTATAGAAAATATCAAGGAATTGTATATAAATGCCATTTTTATTTAATATATTAACGAGAAAGCTCAGAGCTGAGCTGAGAAGAAAAAATTAGTTACGAAAAAATTAGTTACGAAAAATTAAATAATGATCTTATTTGTTAATTTTTTCTTCTCTCTCTCTCTCTCTCTCTCTCTCAGTTTCTTCAAACTTTTTATTATTTATAAAAATAAAACATGTATTAATAGAAAAATTTATTATCTCAAACAATTTGTTAATATAAAAACAATTAGATGTTTCAAACATTCTTTTTCTAACTTTATAAATAAATTATAAACGGTAACTTTTAGTACGTGCGTTTTAATTAAATTAATTAGGCATGCAGCGTTATGTTTGAGATATTATAAAAACTGTATAAATTTCTTTTTCATTTGTACTTAATGGTTGATACTAAAACAACGAGATAACGCTGTACTTTTATATAACATAAAATTAATTGCGTGTTGAAGCTGAAGTTCTACTATGCAGATTTCTTTGAATATCAAGAAGCAAAAACTTTATTTTAGTAGTACCCAGACTGCAGGGTGATTACAGAAATCTACCGCACCCAGGGATGAGAATATCATTGGTTCGTCAGATGGAAGATATTTGCTGGTAGAAAATCCGCTCTTTCGCGAAGAAGATTCACTATCACTTGGCGAAGCGAAGTATTACGTCGTGAGAATCATAATTAGTTAGCGTCTTCTTGAGAAAAATATTCAGTAAAATTTTCAAATACGCGCGTAGCGAGAAGTACTTCAAAAATTAGTTTACGAGCTAATCAAGATTCTTGGCTATCATGCAAAGAATCTCGTTTTAGATGCTCAAATGATAAAATCAAAATCAATAAAGCAATATTACACAGCGTATACTGAATAAAATCGATACTTTCTACAAATAAAAAGTCCTTAAAAATACCTTGAATGTTCCTCCATATGGATAGACGATTGGTGGTGGGTACAACATCTGCCTTCTCGATCTAGACGCGGAACTCACGCTTCTCCAAGAATATAATATGAGAAAGCTGAGCAGGAACACCTTCCTCGCCATTGCAAACTAATAAAATTAACGGGAGAAATACATGATACAATATCACATTTATTTCTACAAATTTTTATGTGCATTTCAGACTCTTTATTTTGACCTGATGCAATGAATTACATGGATACTACATCTATCCACGTTTTTAGTGTCATTTCCTTTATTTTGATTCCAGTTTCTACAATACGTATACATTCGAGAAAAACACAGTTTAAGTAAGAGAAACAGGGACAGTTTTGTATTCCGGATAGTTTTCAATAACAGCTTTTTTAGCGGTTTTAGGTCAACAACTGCCACGTTCCCGTCAAAAAGCTGTACTGTCTCTGCTCAGAGTTTCACATTCGTCATTTATTGCATTGTTTTTGTCCAAAAACTGGCCGTCCGTTTTATTACGTAAAACACGTAAAACATTATTATTCAGAATTGTCTCGTATTCTAAAATGCACCTTCTTTATCTTTTACCTCTTTGAGACGCGTAGCGATTCATTAAAAGTCCATGTCGCATATTTCATGCGCCTACAAACAGCAAAATAATATTACTTTACAGCGGGAAAATGTGACAAAAAACAACGATGAATTTTATTATTATTATGCAAAGCATTTTGCTGCATTTTTATTTAGACTTTTGCGACCATATTTTTCAATGTTTTTGCCATTAATTACAGAATGATAATTAAAATAGGAACTGTCTTTTTTTTATATATCTGAGCTTATTTTTAATTATTGTGTAATTAAAGAATATATTGCATTGATTACAGAAGAATATAAGTGAAATGTATTTATATAAATTACAAAAACCCCATTATAATAATTAACAGTTGTATTATTTATTTCATTCCATGCAATCTTTGATATTTAAAAGTAAATTTATAAAATATGAAATGTAAATTGTTACTCAGTTTAATTTTGTCAGTAGATAAATCGATTACGGATTTTGCGAAATTATCCGGAAGAGAAACTTTGATCGCTGAAGCCAGTAAATACAATTAAAAGAGAATCGTCTTGTAATAACTTTTATATTTCACGACCGCCGTAATGTCACGCTCACCCCTCTGTCGATCCCTCTGGATTCCATGGGGAATAAGAAGCGGGACACATAATGGAGGGCACAAATATACCGAGTAATCCCGAGCCGAAAGCAAGCGCGCGATTCTTGAACTCGCGTCGTATTCTGCTGGATAAAATGTACGCTGCCACTGTCAGGATAAATGTATTCGTATTCAGGTATACCCCGCGGGTGGCCGGCATTAAATATAGCTACTTTTATCAAGGGTGCAATTTATGGCGGCCTTTATGGGCCCCGGCCTGTATAAGTATCGCGTTGCCTTTGCACTTCGCGCCGCGGCGAGCATCCGCCAAAAATGGAGCTTCTCGCGGTAAATAACTCTAATACCTGACACCCGGAAAGGTTTTCGGGTATCGCCCAAAGGGAGATCTCCGTCGTCGCGGATTCGTCGTCTCGGCGTTTTCCTTTTGAACCCGTCGTCTCGCGCCGAGCAACGCGCCACACCGTTGCATCAAAACGTTGCTTACGTTTATTTGCACGCGAATACGTAAATTCAAATCGCACACGGCGTCTTGCGCAAAGGGCGAATCTTCTTACTTATTCCTTAAGAGAATTTACCGGGAAAATAACTCGTAATCTCACATTTTCAATACTTTAGAACGTACGCGGATTCTGTTCCGGTTTTAATAAATGTTTGCGAATTTCATGCAAATGCAAATTTTTTTACGCAATTTGATGAAACGCATTGCAGTTAATCGACACTCACTAAAACTGGGGTGAGAAGACCGGGGGGTAGATTTAGTTAATATTAATCTTGAGAACAAGATATGATGATCTCAGGGTTATAATTATATTCGTAATGAATTTGTAGCGACACGCGTTTCATTTAGTGTAAGCGTACCTTTAATCTTACGACTGAGAGCACAGTAAACTCGTTGCAGGAGTGGTGCATACGCACGCTTGTCTGACTTTAACCGGCCGTTTCTACTTACCCTAGGTTTCGGAACTCCTGTCGGTGCATGTGGGCCTCTTCGTGGAAATTAACGTAAATTCGCAGAGCCGCACGAATTGCTTGCTCAGCGAGTCGACACCTGCGATGAATTATGGTCAAGCATGCTCAAATAACTTGGTACGCAGAGAGTCGCGACCGGAAGAGTCTTCGGCACGTTCTTGATTTTAACGGTTGACGTTTCTAAAATTCGGTCATTTAGTTAAGACAAATGAGAGATGTCTGTTACGTTTCTGCACCTCTAAAAATCTTAGAAATCTTAGAAATAATTATTTTAGAAATGCGATTTATACTGCATTTATAAAATTTATATATATATATATATATATATATATATATTTATAAATAAAATAAATAATTTATTAAAGGCTTATTACTATCGTAAGTAGATGTAATAAAAGGCTTTTTTGCTTTCATATTAATATAATTCTCTTAAATATATTTTATAAAAATAAAGTAGTGATATAAAATTTTTATACACAAAGAACTTTTCATAAACTTAAATTTTCTTTCCGTACATATTTTAACTCCATATTTTTTTATGAAACTATTTATAAAAAATTAATTTAATACATAATTATAAAAATAAGTATCAAAATAAATCATATAATAAAAGTTTGAAAACTTTTATTTTGCAACTGCAAAATGGAAAATAATAAGAAACTTTTAATAAAAATTAATCTGACACATATGCATTGTTTTTTATATAATATCGATATTCTCTTTGTTTTTAGTAATCATTCGTGCATTCGAGCGAGAAATTTTTAATGTAAGATACAAAAATACAAATGTAAAATACAATGTAATTTATTTTATTTCATGTCAGCTATTGTTATATAATATTAAGTTTTATATCTCATTGTTACGTATAAACTTGGATTACTGTCTTTATTGTGGACAAATAAATCTTTTACCTTGAATTATATTTTATCTATTTACGCTGAATTTAACTCCGTCGCTTTTTTCGCATGTACGAACGTTGTTTAAATGACGCTCATAATATCAGACATAATTAATCGCTGTTACGTCAGATTACTTCATACGTTTTCTTTTTTTCTTTCTGCTCGACGTTTCAATTAAATCTTATCATTTTCACGTTTCAAGTGATGCAGCGTGTGTGTGTGTGTGTGTGTGTGTGTGTGTGTGTGTGTGTGTATGTGTGTGTGTGTGTGTGTAATATCCTCGTAACAGTGTAGACATTTCGTAAGATTATAACAACGATTAAAGTTAATGATAAGCCACATATAGTCCGCACAATAGAAGCGAAAATGCACGCAGTCGGATAACGTCGTGAGATAGATAGTGATCTGCCCCACTCACTCTCCCCCTCCCTCCACTGCGAATGTTTGTCAGTTCTGCTTTTGTAATCACTGTTTGCAGAAAGTTGTCACTACCTCTCCCCCAGGTGGAAATGCCCGCGACAAGTTCCGGATAAGAGGCGTCGCGTGGAACAAGTTTTGGAACAAGAAGATTACACGCCCAAGCTTTGAAGCCCCGAGAAGCACGAAGGCAAAGAGGTAGAGAAAGATCGTGGGGGACGTGGGGAAGGAGGAAGGAGGGGTGTGTAACGCATGCGAGAGGGATGGGAGAGAAAAGCCAGATGAGGGGGATAAATGAAGATGGGGTCGAAAAGAAAGGGGGTGAGCGTAAATCGGTGGGACTAAATAGTGAAGGAGGTCGTTACTCCACGTCGAGGGAGTAAATCTCCACGAGTTAATGACTTGCGAAGTTTTAATTGATGCGCTATAATGAAACTATGTAATACGCCGCTGCGCGAAATAACGCGCGTAATCTTATTTCCGATATTTCACACTTGAGGTTTTCAGGGCACCGGGACAAAGTTTCGAACGAATAAAAATTAAAGGGTGAAAGGTGGGAAGGGGAGGTAAATGAAAATGGAAAACATGGGAGACAATAAAGTGGTTGAGCGAAATTGGGATACAAACGGAGAAAAAGTCTATTCTTCCAGCAGCAATGCCGAGCAAGACAGATGTGTAGCGATCCATCCTTTTCTCTGAAAATTGTAACATACCGTTACCTGCGAATAGTTGATTGTTTAATTAATTAACGCAGCCACGTAATCCTCTAGCGCGTAATTCTATTGTAACATTATACCATTATCGTACGTGTAACTGTTAATCCCAGGAGTATAATACAATGTGTTTAACACCAGGAAATGCAGGAAACCAGGAACGCAGTACTATCTTTGAAAACACGAAGAATGAAATATACACAAATTAAACGACATTGAAGCATTCTTATGTTCTCGCGAGAGATAATCCCTCATGACTTATAAGATGAATTACCTTAAATTATTTAATTAATGATTTTTACATTTTTGAATAGAAGTAAAATATCCTTTTAATCTCAAATCTCTTCAAGCAATATTGAGTAAAATTTGTTTTTCTTAATAAAGATTTGAAGAACAATTATTATTTGTTAAAAGAGAATATATGAAAATGGACAAAATTAGCCTCGAATCGACACTTGAAAAACAAATTTCACAGTGTTTGATGCGTATGAAAGAGAAAAATAACATTTATAATGCCGAAAAGTGCTGAAAAAATAACTAAAAACAATAAAATATCATAAAAAAACATATACACGTATATGTGATAGTATGTTTCAACTTTTTTTATTTGTGTACGATCAGACTTGTGCAAATTTTAATATATATATTCACGTTTAGGTGCATTTTATATATAAATATATATATAAAATAGCTAACAAACAAAAATTGAAAGACAATGGACCGGTTTTGGCTTTCGAGATAAAAACGATACGTTTATAGTTTTAGAGCTACTGAATCTGATTCTGATCTTTAATTAAAATTTAATTTATCCGAAAAATATTAAAATTTCGATACACTATACGACCATTTTGATATATTCCTTTTCAGTTTTCAATACGACACATTTCTATGACTAAACTTGAAGTAAAAATATTTGCTTTTATTTATTTGCTTGAAATTAACTGAAGAATACAATATGATCTTCTGATATTTAAAATCTAGTCTCAAAAACTATAAATCTCCTGAGATAGATGTTTGCTGACAAAAATCGACTTTAAATCTCACGGTGCACAACGTTATTGGTCCATTTTCCGTCGATTTTCGGCGCACTCGATCGACATGCGAAAGTGCGTGACTGGATGTACTTTGTCATCGTCCGACGAAGGAGCTACCGCTATCCGCTCCGCGGGTCGTCTCTCGTAGCTTCCGTGCCCGCGCATGAAGTTCCAGATATGTAACTTTTTCGACGGTGCGAGACACGCGGAAGGAAGAAACGTCGAAAGATATGGGGCATGAGAGAGGGCGGAAGAGGAAGGGAGGATACGGCGGTGGCCGTGGAGTACGACGAAGATGAAGCGGGGTGGGATACGCGGTATTTACGAAGAACCAGATAAAGAACCCCGTCAGACACGTACGAGAGAAGGAATCGGGCGTCGTATATCGTTCTTCAAACTGCTTCTCACGGCGAAACCCGACAGCGAAATTTACTTAGCACCCTTCCCCATCCCTCCGCAATACGCGAGGTTGTGACAGAACACGGTCACTCGATTGTCGCGCTCAATCAATGGACGTTATTCGTACTTCATAGTCGCGTTTCTCGAGGAATAAAAAATATCTTATAAATATATATATATATATATACGTAAATAGATATAGGAAAAAAAGGAAGATGAAATTTGACAATATTTTTATGATTTTTTTTGATGACGTGAAAATAATAACGTATTCTTTTAGAAAGATTTAACAAAAAATCTCACTTATAATCTATAAAAATTTAAAAAAATTGATAAATGAATTATAATTTTTAAAAATAATATTTTAGAGAGAGCGAAATATAAAACGGAATATAAAGCGAACAAAATATATTATGTACAATTTTAAAAAGATATAAAATTAGTAAGATATTAAAACAAAAGAATATTAAACAAAAACTTATGTTAAATACAGAACAAAAATTATTAATATGTTATCTTGCTCGTATATTTATCATTTTATTCCACGATCAGTATTTTATTTATCCAAATAGCAAGTATTGTAAACCAATGCAAGAAATGAATATATATTAATACGTACTAAGTTATACGTTATTCCATACGTTTTTATAATAAGAATAAAAATATTTACAATAATTTTTACAATATTTTTTTCTAATAAACACCAAAAAATTATATATTAAATTAAAAAACATTTTTTAGTATATTATTTATTTATTTTTATTAATCTACACGTCATTAAGCTACAAGAAATTATGTAATGCTTCGAAAAGTTTCTAATGTGTCAAATCTTCATTTGTTATTAATTTAGAAAAATTAGCAATTTGTCATCTTATTCTCTTTCTCTATTTAGTATTTATACATGTAAAACATTCTTATTCTAAAAAACAGCTATCGATTAATAAATATCATTGTATATATCTTTTATAAAAAATAATGTACCGATTTGATTCATGCAATTATGTTATAGAAACGCATCAATTTTGTTAATGTTCACTCATAATTAGCTTGTTCAAATATAAATAAATTCTATATATTTTCAAGTGGTTTTAATCGAATACATAGCATTTTATATTTCATGAATGCAAATGTAGGAATAGAAAATAGAATAAAATCGGAGAATTTAAAAATGTCAGAAATAATGCCTGCATACACAATTATTGCATTTATTATATTTTATATTTATTAAATTTTATTTTTAAATCGCTATAACTTTTTTGTTTTAAGTTCCCGGCTTAAACTGGAAATATCTATGCGAATAAAACGACATATGTCACTTTCGCAAAACAATACAAGCACAATGCTAAATTGTTGTGGCTGTATTTACTCAGCAAACACCAAATATAATTGTTATATAACATACAAGTAACATATAATATAACAAATACATTACATTATAGTTATATAATTTTTTTATATATGCAATATAAATAAGTTATGAAACTATTATATTGTTCCATTGTTTATATGTAACAATAAACGAAGTAGTAATATAACTACAATATTATGTGCTATATAAATTACGTTATGTTATAATATTGATATTATATAATGTTTTAGCGAGTTATATAAATGCTATATAACATTTTTGAAACTATAAACAGTTATATAACAATTATATAATATTTCAGTGACATGTTACATTTATATTATATAATTTTAACATTCAATGAGTGGGAAATTACAACTAACGTGGATGTTACATGTAATATGTATGTTATATTACTTGTTACATTCCCTTTTATTACGGCAATATAATATATGTATATATGTGCTCGCTGGATAAATTGCATTTGTTCTAAAACTAAAACTTATTATTATGATCGGAAAAAGTAAACCAAAGAGTTTTATTGTTAACACCATGTTTACACGAGTGTGCAGATCAGATTTATCTCGTAATAAAACTCTCATCCGTCGTACATCATTTTCTGAAAATATAATTTTGTGAAGAAAAGACTGCTTGGCGTATTAAGATTTTTACATAGTTAATATGATAAATAAGGATAACATGCATAGTAACGGATATGATAGTAATCGAATGCGTTTCTAATCCTGAAGGGAATAAAGAGGCTCAACGATTCGATTAACTAAGGAAACACAATCTCTGTAAACGATTCCAACGGCGACTCGATGCAATCGGGATACGTTAAGACGCAATCGCCGCCAGACTTTCCCAATCGTTCGGCTTCCTGATACAATTTGTTGGCGCTCCGGTGACTGGAATTAATCGCTACCGGCAAGTCCTCCATGGGCCTGCGAAGGAGATTAAATCGTTTCGAGCCTTGGATTATTCAATCGCACCGAGCATTATCCAATATCTTGTAATTCAAGCGTCTTGTAATTCAAGTGTTCGTTATTTTGACAACTCCCGACATCTCGACCGAATGGAATTATCGTATTAATTCTCTCTCCATTTAGAGATACTATTACACTAGAGATATTACACATATTATTTATAATATATTTTCCAATCAATACAAAATAACAATCGAAATTATAACAATTAATCGTGCACGAATTTAAAAAATTTCTTGTTACATTTTAAAAAACGCTCGTAAAGCAAATGATAAATTTCCGCTAAATTAAATCGTTAAACTCAATAATAATTTTTATCGCTTTGTAATATTCAATATATTTATGACCACGTTCGCCCTAAAATGCCCTAATTTATCTCTCTCATGCATTAACAATTATTGAACCGGTCATGAATCTACACGGACGTCTCGGATATTCGTCGGAAATCTCAGTAATATGCATACTCGGCAATTAATGGCTCGTCCGCATTAATTTGTGAAATATACTTGACAACCGAGGCTTACCCGCGGAGTAACACGGGCACGCAATTATGCGCATCGACGCGGCATTTTGTTAGATCATTTCGAGAGAGGCTCCCGCTCCGGTGGTCGAGCGCGATGGAGGAAAGGTACGTACGTACGAGGATCATACGAGGGGAATGCCCGACGAAAACCTGGGCGAAACACTTCCATTAGAAACTTAATGTACGCGCCTGACTTAGTCGTGCAATTACCGCGCCGGTGTTAGCCCGGGCGCAATTTCCTTCGAACATACGCGGGCGTGGGCGCGTTTGGAATAGCAAATTCGTGGCTTTTGGTTACAGGACGGCGCGTATAGCTGGCCGGCAGACGGGCGAATATTTTACATGATGTAACAGCCATCTGCTACTCCGGCCGACGCTCAATTAGGATGCTGCCAAACATGAGGCCGGATTTTATGGTCGTCTGGGCAGCTGTGCGTGTACGCGTAACCGCATGATCGCGCCGAAACTGTAGGCTTTGCCTACACAGTTGTGTAGTTTCGACGAATCTCTATCTCTCGCTATCATACGTCGCATTGTTATAGTCGCAAATGGTAAAATCCGAAACCGACGTAGCTTCGGTACGAGTCCAGATTTTTATACAACAAACACATAAAAGCGAACCCCTACGTTTACGCACGACGATAGAGATATTATAAAAAATGAACGAGAAGCATATTCTCCATATGTCCATATATATTGAATATATATATATATATATATATATATATATATATATATATATATA